CAGGTGTCCCCATGTCCTACTCCTGGTCACCGTCGGCGCAGGCGTTCCCCACTCTTTGCTCTCTTTCAGGACAGGTTTGCGTTGCACCTCTACTCGGTCAACGGGAAGCATCTCTCCACCGTCCCCTTGGACGAGGAGGTGACGGCCATGTGCCTGACGGAGGAGTTTGTGGTGCTGGGGACCATGCAGTGTGGGCTGGAGATCCGTGACCTTCAGAGGTGTGGGCTGTCACCCACCGTGTCCCACCCCCATCACCCCTATGGGGTGTCCAGCAGGTCCCATCCCACCACCACTTGTCTTCTCGCAGCCTCACGGCGGCCGTGCCCCCCGTGCCCATGAGGGTCCCCGTCCACAGCGTGTCCGTCACCAAGGAGAAGAGTCACATCTTGGTGGGGTTGGAGGATGGCAAGCTCATCGTGGTGGGGGCTGGGCAGCCCGCCGAGGTGAGCGTGGACCCACACCCCAGGTGGTGGTGGGGGTCAGGGGGGTGTGGTCGGTGTCTGCTGGGTGCTGCTGGGCTGGGGACCTCTGGTTGTGCTCCTCTGTCCCCAGACCAGAGCGGGACGGGGATGGGCTGGGGTGGGGAAGGGGATATGGGAAAGGGAGGGGAAGGGGATGGAGATGGGGAAGGGGAATGGAGGTGGAGATGGTGATGGAGATGGGGAAGGGGTGGAGATGGGGATGGAGGTGGAAATGGTGATGGGGGAAGGGGTGGAGATAGAGATGGGGATGGAGATGGTGATGGGGGAAAGGGTGGAGATGGAGATGGGGAAGGGGTGGAGATAGTAATGGAGATGGGGAAGGGGATGGAGAAGGAGGTGGAGCTGGTGGTCGAGATGGAGATGGGGAAGGGGGTTGACATGGAGATGAGGAAGGAGATGAAGATGATGGAGATGGAGATTGAGATGGAGATGGAGATGGAGATGCAGGTGGAGATGGAGGTGGAGATGAAGAAGAGGAAGGGGATGGAGATGGAGGTGGACATGGGGAAGGGGATGGACATGGAGGTGGAGATGGGGAAGGGTGTGGAGATGGAGATGGAGATGGGGAAGAGGATGGACATGGAGGTGGAGATAGAGATGGGAAGGGGATGGGGGTGGGAATGAAGATGAGGAAGGGGATGGACATGGGGAAGGGGTGGAGGTGGAGATAGGGAAGGGGTGGAGGTGGAGATGGAGAAGGGGCTGGTGGGTGGATCGCGATGGAGAATGGGTTGGGAGAGGGCTGGGTGTGCGGATGGGGAAGGGGATGGTGAGGGGAGAAGGGATGGGGGTTCAGAAGGGGAAGGGGTGAGTGTGGGAGGAGAAAAGGACAGAGTTGGGAATGGGATGGGGGTGGTGATGGGGAAGGGGCTGAGGGTGATGGATGTCTGGAAGAGGACAGGGATGGAAAAGGGGATGAGTAGGGGGATTTGGAAGGGGATGGGGATGGAGAAGATGAGGATGGGGATGGAGAAGCAGGTGGACATTTGGAAGGGGGTGGGGATGGAGAAGGGGATGGAGAAGCAGATGGGGATTTGGAAGGGGATGGGGATGGAAAAGTGGATGAGGATGAAGAAGGGAATAAGGATGGGGATGGAGAAGGAGATGGAGATCTGCAAGGTGATGTGATGAGGAATGGAATGGAATGGAATGGGGATGGGGATGGAATGGGATGGGGATGGAGATGGCCATTTGGAAGGGGATGGTGGTGGAGGAGAGGATGAAGATGAGGAAGGGGATGAGGATGGAGAAAGGGATGGGGATGGAGAAGGGGATGAAGATGAAGAAGAGGATGGGGATGGAGAAGGGGATGGGGATGGAGAATGAGGATGAAATGGATGAAGGGATGGGGAAGGGGATGGAGAAGGGGCTGAGGATGAGGAGGATGAGATGGATG